GAGAGCTGGCGAGGCGGCAGGCGGGAAGGCTGAGGCACTGGGCCCACGTGGCAGGCTGCACCTGGCGGCTTGGGAGCGTGCTGGGCACATGCGCGTGCGCCAGGATCCTGAGAGAATGGAGAAGGGACTGGGTGGGCCATCCCCCGAGCGGGGGGCCCTCACTTTCTGTCTCCGTCTCTCTCTGAGGTGTTAAAAACAAGAGAGGGAGCTGATGCCTGAACTCTGGAGGGCCGTTTCAAATTAATCTCTCTCAACACTTAAACATTTTGTTTCTTTTTTTGGGGAGCAAGTTAGAGAGCGAGCGTGAAGGTGGGTGAAGTGAAGCGAGGTTGAAGACTTCACTGCTGGGATCGGCCCCAGCCCTGCCAGCCCCAGCATGGGTGCCCAGTGCACCCTGGGACCTGCAGAGGCCAGCCTGCCCCTGGGCCGGGTCTGTACAGCGTGCTGTTGAGTGAGGTACCAAGTGCAGGTCTGTCTGGGGGGGGTTGCAGAGCTGCTGGCATGGGAGGTGACCCAGATGTCACCAAAAGGCCACCACGAGAATAAACCGCTTGAGGCCACACCACCGCATCTCCTCTGCAAAGAACCAGCTGCCAGGGGGGACCAGCAGTTGGCGTAATGGCTATGTTGCTGGACTCCCATGTAGCCGAACACGGTTCGAGTCCCGGACCCGGTGGCTTAAACTCACATCTGGCACGGGTGCGTGCTTGCCGAAGATCCCAAGAGGACAATGGAGAAGGGATTGCGGCGTGGCCATCCCCCCTGGGGGTGATTTCTCACTTTCTGTCTCTCTGTCTCTCTGGTGACTGCACGCACCCTACAGCAAAAACCTCTCCCCCCAAAAAAGAACCAGCTGTCCTAAGGGCCTCAGGGCCTGGCCCTGCTGCTCAGCATAACCCCAAGTGTGCGCACGCATGTGGGCTGGCCCACGAGTGTCTGAGGCTCAGTGTGCACGGTGGAGCCCCTCGGCCCCTGCAGGCCTGCACGTCCTTCTGGCTGTGCTGGGGCCAGCACCTGGGGCAGTAGGTCACACAGCCTGACATGCTTGCCCGGGGACAGGTGTGACCCCCGCCATGGCGCCTGTGGTCCTCCGCTGTGACCTCCACAGCCTGGAGCCAGGCAGCCTACCAAGGGCCAGGGAGGTGGTGGTCAGCCTGCTCTATGGGGATGGCCCTGCCCAGAGACTGGCAGGTGCTGGCCTGGGCTGGGCCTGGCCAGGTCCCAGGGTGGACGTCGCACCGTGGGTGATAAAAAGGGTGAGAGAACGACTTGTGTGAGAAAGGCAGGCAGACCAGTCTGGTCTCAGCCGTGGCCACCGGGCACGATGCTCGCCTGGGCGGCAGGCCCTCGCGTGGGCGCGCACCAATCACACACCGGCAGTGTGTCCACCCCTGGTTGGAACCGCTTCCCTGGCACCGGCCCACCGTGGGACGCTCTGAGCACCAGGGCTGGGCAGGCACGGGGACCAAGCCATTTATGGTACTCGACGCGTTCACATGGCCTGGAAGACGGGAGACAGGCCTCTGCCTGCCAGTGGAGAGCACCGTGGGCCCCGTCCCTGCCTGCCGGCCGGGCAGCACTCCCCACTGGCATCCCAGCGCCTGGGGAGCCCACCGAGGCCGCCTCTAGCTGCACTCTGGTCGCCGTGCAGCCCTGCTGGGTCCTGGTGCAATCTCCTCCGTGCCCCTGAGGACACCTTGCTAAAACACTCGTAAGTTTCTAGAAGTTTTTGCTGGAGGGTGTAGATGCCCACCAGAGACCGAAGGAGGGGAGAGGGGAAGCACAATGCCTCTCTTCCACGCCCCGACCTCGTCGGCACCTCGGACACACAGGTGCGGCACGTTCCTCAGGTCCCCAGGCCAGGACTGGCGCTGCGGTCGACCTCGTGGGATTTGGTGGCCCTGACTACCAGGCAGCAGGGCCAGCCTCGGAATAACTTTGAAACAGATTTCTGAGACAAACCACTGATTCAGAGGGTGCGAACCTCCACTGCCTGACAGGCGCCGCCCTGGCCTCCCAAACTCCGCTGCAGTCCCTGTGCGGTGCTCCTTGGTCACGCCCCGTCCTCCATCCTCCCTCCGCTGGGCGTGTGGCATCTGTCGGCGTCGGCTTCCTGGGCACTCCTGGGTCTGGGCCCGAGTGGCGTCTCGCCAGGCCCCTCTGGCCTCTGCCTGACTCCAGACGCCTTCTCAGGGCACGGTCCTATTCACCTGCTGAGCGTTTCTCCCAGTCTGTCTTTAATCTTGTCTTCTAAACTTCTCAGAGTTTTGTTCACGCCAGGAGGCGTGCATTTGCTGGAGAGAGAGACGGCGGGGGAGCAAGGGGGCACCGGGGCACAGCCGCAACCGAACATCTCTGCTTGCCCTCTGAGAGAGAGACGGCGGGGGAGCAAGGGGGCACCGGGGCACAGCCGCACACGACCAGCTCTGCTGCCCTCTTTTGCGGTCTTGGGCATGCACGCATATGCACCTGCTGTGTTCCTCAAGCTGCCAGGTCTGGGACTTGAACTTGTGTCAGTCACGTGGAACCCAGCTGCCCTAACCGCCACACCACGGGTTGGCCTGAAATGTTTTTGAATGCTCTAACATCTAAGCTGTGGACCATGGACTACCTGGTATCTGGAAATTTAAGTTTCTTTCTTTATGTTTTTTTAAAAAGGAAGTTTTTGCTATAGGGCACATATGCACTCGCCAGAAAGACAGAGAGAGACAGAGACAGAAAGCGAGAAATCACCCCCCAGGGAGGATGGCCACACCACTATCCCTTCTCCTCCATTCTCCCCCAACCAGGGATCTTGGGCATGCACGCACATGCACCCTGCGTAAGTTTAAGCCACCAGGTATGGGACTCGAACCGCAGTCGACTACGTGGGAGCCCAGCGATGTAGCCAGTACACCAAGTGCTGGTCCCAGAAGTTTAAGTTTCTAATCTTATTTTAGGTGCTGCCCCTGCCAAGATAGACTGAGCCAATGCGCACATGGCAGGGGCAGGGGCTGAGAGTCGGAGTCAGGCCAAACCCCAGGTCGGCACACGGGGTGACTCCAGTTAGATGAAATATCAAGATATGGCAATTACAAGGGTCTCGCCAAAGAGAGCCCCGTGAGAGCAGAGGAAGGGGTGCTCACAAGCTACCACGCGCTGCTCCAGCAAACAGGCGCCACGAGCCGGCCACAGGCGCCGCTGCAGAAGCCCACCACTGCTGTGGGCGCTGGCCTGGCCAGCTCTGCCTCAGGTCGCTCTGGCCTACAGAGAAGGCTGCTGCTGGCCCACGGGGACGTGTCTCCTGACACCACGAGGCAGCCAGGGGACAGGCCTCTGAGAGTGGGTTCAGCCAGCTTTGGGCCTGCTGGCCGAGGGACAGACATGGAGGAGTGTCTAGCACCCATGATGGGTGGGTGGGAGGACAGAGAACAGAGGGATGGGTGGGGGGGCGGGAGGCAGGTGAGTCGGCGCCACGAGGGAGAACGAGTTCTGGGAGTGAAGGGCCGGAACAGGAGGAGTCAGCTGGCAGGGGCGGAGTGTGGTGAGGTTCGGGGGTGCCACCTGGGGGTGACGGGATGGCCAGACGTGAGCAGAGGACACGGGGACGCGGCTGTCGACGTCACAGGGGCCGCTGACTCGGGAGTGTGGGCTGAGGGGAGCGTGTGGGTGATGGTGAGGCACCTGAGGGACGAGGTCAGAGTGAAAGTGGCAGAAAAGTGGTCGGAAGGGCGTCTGGAGAGCAGGGGGCCAACTCTTGCTGCCCTCCTGAGAAATGGAAGGGCGTGGGTGGGGTGGTGGCTGGTTCCGTGGGCCGCTGAGCCACACCTGCCACAGGGCCGATGCGTGCTGTGCTCACAGGCCCGCCAGCGAGCGTGGAGAGGGTGGCCACGTGCCCAGGGCAAGTGTCCCTGGGCGGCGGCCCCGAGGGCTCCTGTGAGGCCACAGGTCAAGAGGGACCACTGCTGTCCTCAGCCCTCACTCTGCGGGTGGGGCGGGCGCCTGGCACTGTGCGGCCACTCGGCAGGTGTGCATGAGGGGTGGCCTGCCTGGCGTGGCCTCGCTCTCTGCTCTGCAGGCTGAGGCGGGCTCATAGGGAGACACCACCAGCGGCCACCACCGTGTGCAGCCCGGCCAGCCCCTAGCTGTCCCTGCCCTCCAAAGGTCCCTGGAAGGACGAGGCTATGGGTGACAGGAGACACCGGATGCGTCTGTCTGCAACGCTGCCTCCGGGCACACAGAATGCTGCCTCGGAGAGACGGCAGCCCGGAGCACTCCGTCTGATCGGGCTCTGTGAGCGGGCTCCGGGCTTCGCCTGCTGGGTGTGTGTGCAAGGGCAGGGCCGCCTATCTCCTGGCTACGGCGAGGGCGTGGGAGCACGGCCCGTGCTCCGGGAGCCACGGAACCCATTTCTGGAATCGGGGTCTCGCGGAGTCACCAGGCCAGGCAGCCGTGCTGGCCCAGACGCGTGCTTTGGCGTCTGGCAGAGAGCGAGGCTGCGGGTCGGGGTGTGCTTGGACCACCCGCTTGGGCAGCAGTGACAGCGGGCGGGGCGGGGCCTGCAGAGGGCGTCTGCACAGGTCTGACCACTCGGTGCCTGTCACGCGTTCCGGCCAGAGCTGTCCCCTCCGTGCTGGAAACACCGCACGCCCTCTCAGTACCCCGGCCGTGCGTCCTGCCTCTCTGGGGCCGGCCGAGGTCTGGTTAGACACTGTTGCCTCTCTCCAAAGGGCACGGAGCCCCTGGGAGGCCACAGCCTTTGTAGCGCCCACCAGGCCGCGGGGACGTGCAGCTGTGCTGGCCTCGGCCTTCCCACAGACATGCCCAGAGGCCCTTGCAGCCCATCGGAGATATGGCCCAGTCCTAGGGCTTCTGGTCTCTGCTCCCCTCCTGCCTGCACTGTCCCACCAGCCGAGAGTGCACCCCTGCCCACCTATGCTCTCCCACGAGGCAGGCAGAGGAAGAGCCCTCCCAGCCCCTCAGCCGGCCAGGGCGGCCCGCACCCTGGGCTCAGGACCCACCTGCAGGGGGCCCCAGCGTGGCGCGGAGCCTGTTCCCCATCTCCACGAGCTGCTCCCTCTCCAGGCGGAGACGCAGGATCTGCCTGGTCGCATCCTTCAGCTTCCTCTGCAGTCGGCTCATGGACAGGGCCTGAGTGGGCTGCAACTCCAGCTGGAGGTGGGGACACGGCACGCCCTGGGTCTCCTTGCCCACGGCACCGGCGACCGTGAGGCCCTACAAACCAAGTCCACATGGCGGATGGTGTAGGCCACGGAGCTAGCCGGGCGCACACGGAGTGAGGGTACAGGAGGCGAGGAGCCAGCGCACCGCCCACGGAGCACCCTGTGTCGGCACCTCCATCTGCAGCCTGGGGTGACCTCCTTCCATAACTGGGAGACCCGGAGAGGACACCAGGCCCACAGATGCCAGGCCGAGGCCCAACCGTGGCATCGGCCCCAGTCCCTCAGCCTTTTCGTGCTATACTTGGGCCCCAGCACAGGCGAGGACCGAGCCCTGACGTCCCCTACAGGCTCTGAGGCGCCAGACATCCTGCAGTGGAGACGTGGGAACAGCATTGACCCCAACCAGATTGGTGGGACCACGCCGCAGGACCCAGGACGGCTGCCCGTGAGTGCCAACAGGGAGTCCGCCTCCTCCTGCCTCTGTCTGGCATGACGCCTGCTGCAGCTGCAGCTCTGCCCACCCAGGGGCCTGTCCACTGGCCTCTGCCAACGGGTGCAGCTGGCCACCCCGAGGTGGCCCGCACTCGCCCCTGCACTGGACCCCCTCTGTCCTGCAGGAGGCCCAGAAGGGCGAGGGAAGAGGCTGAGGCAGGCGGGGGGAGGCAGGCCTGTCCCCACAGTGCCAGTCCCTCGATTCAAGCCCCAAGGGAGCATGGTGGTCCACACTGGGCACACGCTACACAACCGCCACAAAGTGCAGCCACTCTGAGCAAGGGTGGGGCAGAGCCCGTGCCACCTAGGCCCAGTCCTGGGTCAGACGACCCACTTCTGCTTCGCTGCACCTGCGAGCCACCCCACGGCCAGCCTGGCAGTGCGCTGACTCTGGAGACAGAGCACATCCCGTCCTGCAACTTCCTGCTGGCCCGTGCAGCCTGGCAGGTGCCAGTGCCCTGCGGGGACTCCTGTTCCTCAGGTGGCCTGGGGCCTGCGGCCGAGTGCACTGCTGCCTGCAGGTGTGTGCCGCAGGTGAGCATGGGGGAGGGGACCCAGGTCGCCCTGGGTACTCCCAGCTGGTGTCAGGGGCTCCCAGGGGCCTTGGCGACTCGGAAGGCAGGTGTGTTCCTGCCCGAAGACCCACCGGCCTTGGGTTCGGATTCTGGTGAGTTTACCGTGACGATGGCACAGTCTCTCCCCAGAATGAAGGCTGCAGGGCCCGAGCCACACACCACGTGTGTCAGGTCCGCTCGACACCACGCTGTGTATTGGACAGCCCGGCCGCCCGGCCGCCAGACACCAGGTCCCTGAGCTCTCCCTCGCCGGCCACAGCCCCGCCCCCGCCCCCGTGGCTGGCAGGAAGGCGAGGCAGACCTGTTTGCTGCACTGTCTCCCTGAGCCTCACCAGTTGCTGACCACAGGTAGGGCCTTCAGGAGGCCACAGGGTGAGCTGAGCAAACCCCACGGCCCACTGAACGCTGGCCGGGCCGGCTGGCCTCTTCCCACCACCAGTCTCCTCCCACCACCAGTCTGAGCTGCAACAGCCAACACTGCCCCCCAGTGGCCCCGGGGAGCATCTCCGTGCAGCCTGTGGTGGGAAATCCGGGGGAGGATGTGGACGCTTAGCCACCGGAGGCCAGGCACAGGGCCGGGAGGTGAGGACTTGCGCCCCCCACCAAAAAGTCCCGCTGCTCCTCGCTCCTCGGACGGTGCTGGCTCTGGGTGCAGTCATGGCCCAGCTGAGGGGTCTGGGCACCCTGTGCCAGCTCTGTGCTGACCCGTCCCCCATAAGCTCCCCCAGGCCATGTGGGGGTGAGAGGCTAGCTCCACCTGAACGTGTCTGCGTACCCTGAGGAGGCCGTGGGCCACGAGGCATGTTACGGCGGCCCCCTGCCCTGGCAGACGCAGGGGCTGGGCGGTCTGGGTGGTGGATGTGGCACGTCCACTGGCCCAGCCCCCACAGGTCCAGCAGGAGCCTCAGGTGTCGGCTGCACTTATGGGTACTCCCGCCGGCTCCTCCCCCGAGAGCCGCTGGCCCCCGCTGGCACGGG